ATGCCCTAAGAGGAACTTAGTTGTTCAACGGCATCCTCACTCACCCTGTTTTCGCTGACATGGAAGATGAAGAAGCAGCGGAAGAAGAAGAGGCACAAGAACAAGATGATTCAGCAATTAAGAAGGGCGGGTTATTGAAGGGGTTGAAGGACAAGAATGCCTCCTCAAAGCCACAACCCAAAAGGGTGTTCAAACAAGACTACAATAGAATAGTTCAACTATAGGCATTCTTTACTAAGGAATGTTATTGATATCATTTGTGGCAAGAATCGCTTCTTCATTTTGCGATACATGCCTTCATTAACAATTCAAAAGTAAGCACTTATTGTAATTGCATATTGTGCTATCCATAATTGCATCCTTGATTAAGACAGGAGGGACTTTTCCCTATATAGAGATACGAAGTACCCGTTTGGACCTACACAAAATGAGGTTACGGATGATACATCGACCGAGGAGGGAACCAAGATGAACATGCTTAGGAAAAGTATTTCCAATAAAATGACAAGGGATTATAATATGCTGGAGATTCCATGGATTTCTATCCTACGAAATAAAAATTTATGCTGTTATCAAATGAATTTCTGTTCCGGGAACAGAAATTTCGTGTCGTTATCAAATGCGTTTCACTACTTATAAACTCGTCTATGGAATATAAATAGAAAAATCTATTCGCTAGAAATTGTTCTCAAGAACACAATTATTATCATTTGCGACCTAAATAGCTTCAGCCTTCAGTTACTACATTCCTCAGTAATTGTTTGATGGGAAATGAGAGCTTTGTATTTACATATAATGGTAATGTAAAAAGTACCGAGAAGGAAGCTAGAAAGCAGATTGAGAATGCCCGAATAACCACATGAAAGAAAATCCACACCTATTACCACAGACCTCCCTTGTATCTTCCAAGAAGCCAACTACTGTGTTCATGTATCGTCTGCCTCATTTACAAAACTGTGAACTACATTGTGATGAAATGTTGTAAGCCTTTTGATGCGCGTGCGGGATGGGCGATTGATGTCTTGAGTGATGTCGAAAGAAGTACAGATAGATCAAAACGTATGGAATGGATGTCGATGGATAAATGAAAATGCAGAATAGAATACGATCACCACCAAGGCCTAAAGGACGAATCACCAATCAAGGATAAAGATCGGTATTAACGAAGTTCACTAAGACTTAAAGGACGAATTACCAGTCAAAGATAAACGATTTCGGATAAGGGAAGCTCACCACTAAGGCCTAAAGGATGAACCAGCCGAGTATGAAGGGCCTCTTGGTCCACCATCAAGAATAATCCACTTTTCAAGGTCTAAAGGAAAATCCACGAGGCAAGTGCTTCCTATTCTAATATGACATACATTAGATAATCCTAACATATACTTGCTAAATGACATGCGAGCAGTCACATAGCATATGTGATGACATAGAAGATGACGTGGCACACGTTCTGACATGGCATACATGACGTAGCATGATAACATGGCATACAATGACATATCATAATGACATGGCATGGATGATGCCATCTAAACAACATGACATGCGCATGATATTTTTGGTATTTTCATTAAAATTCGTAATCAGAAAATAATGAAAATAAATTACCTATATTAAGATATCATCTAATTCATATTAGGAATTAAACTAGGCCAAAAACTAATTTAAATTGGAATAGAATCCTAACTAAGTAATCCTATCTTAGCTTGCAATCTGTCGACAAAAAGATGCTAAGGGTGCAAATGATAAGCATTCTATTTCTAGAATAGATTTATGGCCAGAAATAGATTTTCTATTTCTGTTCCTGGATGAGTTTCCGAACAGAGATATGCGTTTGATAACGACACAAAATTTTTCTTCCAAGAACAGAAATTCATTTGATAGGCCTTCTTAAATATCTCTCTCTTATGCTCTTTTCCATTCATCAGTGGCCGACGGTCAGTGGTGGGAGGCGACGATCGGCAGGGGTTGGTGGCAGCCAACGGGAGGCGGCGGGCAGCAGGAGACAAGGGCGAGTGATAAGAAGAGTTTTCATTTCTCTTTTTGTTCTAGAAATAGAAAAGTAGAAAATTTTTACTTCTCATTTATGTTCCAAAGATATTTCTGAACTTAAAATTTGTTCCAAAAATAGAAAAATGAAATTGTGTTACCAATCGGATTTTGGTTTCAAACATGTTCTTAAGAGTAGAAAAATAGATCTTGCTAGAAATAGAATGATTATCACGCACGCCCTAAAGTTTATTCTAATTTATTATGAAATATTATCTAAACATGCAATCTAGTTTAAAAATACTTCGTTATCTAAAAAATCTACTCAAATCTTATTGACTATCTATTCTAATTATATCTAATCTTTTTTTTGGTTGATATTTTCTAGATAAGAATCAATCAAATCAAACCAAGCAAATCAACTAAAGATAACACCGAATTACTAGAGCACATCCAATCAATCCATATTTGGTAACAAAAATCGTAACAAAGAATTATAGATAGGATTAGCTGATTTTCCGTGTGATCAAGAATCGTATCTCAGGATTAGAGATCGGATTTCCAACTTATGCACGTTGTTAATTTCCTAATTTAATTTATCCTAAAAATCTTGGAGATAGACAATATCACTTGAAAATAATGAAAATCAATCAAATTTGGTAACGAAAATCAATCAAATCGATATCGCACGAGATCGTTACGTAATTCAAAGATTCACTTTCCAAATTTGAACTCGACAGACGGCCTCGAACGATGACCAGCGGCTGGCGGTGGGTGGCCCATGGATTGGCCAGCGCGGTGGTGCTAGATCGGCGGTGCTCATCTCGGCGGTGGCAGCTCACGGGGCCAGGGGGTGCTGCGGTGGTGACAGCCGCGGTTTGGCCGTGGATTTTCGATGGCCGGACCTGTGCGATTGGATGTGCGGTGTCATGAGATAGACGAGACGTGGAAGATAGTAAGCAAACCACTTGAGTCCTCGTGTCGAATGCGATCACAGGTAGATGGTTTGACCGAGTGGGTTTCTACCTTCTAGTTGACCGAATCATGGCCTCTGTCCCCAATTCTCCACTTATCTCCTAATGATTTTCATCAAAATTCCAGCAAGTGCTTCCTTTTCTCATTTCCTGCGTGGGTCTACCTGCAAGAAACTCAAAGTACACGAATTTATACGACCAATTCATACCCTCCTTCTGAGTTTTTCCAATGACCGAGCCTCCCGTGATCGCCTTCGATTGGACACCGGGACCGGGCACGGCACCGAAACCTGCAGGGACTGCCGTTACTAGCTACGTGCCGGAAGCGCATCTGAAACCGACTGGGTTACGCCTAGTGTCGCCGGGGCTCGCTGCCGAGGAGTGCCGCGGACGCTGGACAGGGCTGTTACGTGACGATGCAGGAGTGGAAGCGAGACGCGACGTGAGAGTTTGCAAAGCGTGGCGGAGCAAAGGGCAGTCACGGCGGTCTGGGAGGGAATGGAATACTGTCGGATGATCTCGACTCACACAGACTTCAAACTTTTCAAGGATTGGCCGAATGAGATCCGAATTCCTCGTGTGGCCGAATTCTCAAGATCTCCATGAAACTCTCTCCAAGTATGCTCTTGACTATTCACATAAACCCGTCTACCGCTGGTCCAATTATTATGCAAACTATATGGGCTTAATTAACTACTAATACAAATGCTCATTATATTTATCTGCCATTTAATAATTATTTTTGCTAGGGGTCGGGGTTGATCCCTAATTTTTTATGCAATGAATTGCTAAATGGGATGCCAAAATTTAGGTGTCAATATTTATTAGGTACATTTTAAAGTTCATATATTTTTTTTAAAGTGTTGAGTACAGTATATTAAAAGTACCTTAGCCTTCTCCCCAATAACTTACTAACTCTTATATACATAACCTACTAACGTTTCAAACGTACTGCAACTCTTAAAATAAATTATCACCTTAATTTAAGTGACATACCATTTTTCTCCGATTAAGTTACCAACTAGTCTAGCCTTAACAGTTCACGTGACTTCCGCAGAAAAATTAGAGTTCTCAGTGAGTTCAATTCCAAGATTACTCGGACATTGATTCGAGCATTGCAAGACTTCAAACAGGAGGCCCCCACCAGAACCCGAGTGCTAAAAAGATTACCATGGTCCATTCCACTGACCGAGACTAAACATTCGCACTAGTGCCGAATCTCTTTCCATTCGCCGTCGAAAGCAGCCTGTCCGCTGGATTCGAGCGTAATCCGAGATACCAAGTCACCACAGTCCACACAATTTGAGGTGAGCAAATGAAATGGCTCAGATGCAATGTCAAAGATCATTTCGACAACGACCTGTATTTCTCATCTTGATCCGGTTCGCCATGGACCGGATGACCACGGTTGAATGGTCTAAGCCCCGAATTGAATAGAACCCACCAGATCAACGGTCAAGAGTTGATCAGTCTGTGGTGGACCAAATTTCTTGTAAGAGTTTCCTTTCCGCGAGCAGAGTCGACTGTGTATTTCTCAAGAGCATCCGAACTGGCAGAACCAACGAGCATTTCTGCATTTGGTGCAGTCAATGCAAGGCCAAAACTCACGTACAGACCAAAGCGAGCTTTCTTACACTGACAACAAAATGAAGCTTGTCATCCTGTCCCTACCGAGCCTTGTTAAAGACTTTCAAGGTAAAAAAAAAAGCAGCTTCTCCCTTCTATCCCTTCTCATTTAAGCCTCAGAGATTCAAACATTTCACAGCAAACCAGGTATTCATTTTCATGACTGCGAGGTACCCGAAACATCATTCAGATAGCACTCCCACGAAATATGTCAAATGATGAGAAATCTAGTAAAGTTGTTGACATCATTCACCCACCTTGAGTCTAACACCAAATAACTTCGCTAAAAATAAAATTTTCTTTCCCACGAGCTGCTCAAATTAATCAAAAAGCGGAGAAGTCACTGCACAAGCTGCCACAGTGGCCAGGAAGGGTGGGCAAAGATGGTCAGGGGTCCAAGTTGCTGACCTCTAAAGACGAAAAAATATCGTAACACTGGATGAAAGGTATACACTATACACAAGCACTTCTCTGTATTGACAACGGTTTGTCAGTGCAGCTTAATCATCAATTGTAACTCTGAGATTCTTACTCCATCGAGTATATACCCCCACATAGTAAGCAAAAAACAAAAAGAAGAGAAAAACGAAGCCCCCAAACCAACCTCTCACTTGATCATTAGCCAAAAGGCCAAAAAAGGTATTCCAACCAACCTCGTGCAAATGTGAAATCAGATAAAGTGAAATAAATGTACCTTCCTTGACTAAAACAATTGGAGTAAGACTGATTACATGGTAGATGAAGGGGAAAAAGTGAAGAAAAGGTAAAACTTGCCACAGATACATGCACGGCCCCAAGTAGTCCCTAGTACCTACAGCAGGCAACATTACAAGATTAGACAAAAAGAGTGCTAAATGCCAGTTTATCAAAATCACAAAAAAGAATGCTACATCCCCAAACAAAGCAATTCACAGCCTATTGAACATGATTTAAATCAACAACAGAAACGTAAAGCAGACAATCAGCCCGAAAATCATGTAAGTAAACAGGCACAAAAGTAGTCTCTCGACCAGGTCTGTGAGAGGGAAAAGTAAAAGTATTATTCAATAAAGTTCAATATATACATCAAAATAAACCCTAAAGATTCTAAAGACAACTTTACACTTTATACTTCTAATACTCCCCCTCAAGCTGGAGCAGAACAAAGAGTGAGAAGCCGCGAGACCTCAGATCATCGTGCTACCTTGCACGAGAGGGTCGCATGACTCACGCGAGAGAGTCGCCTGACTCGTGCGAGGTGGGTCGCGCTGAGGTGGGTCTCGCTGAAGTGAGTTGCGCGAGGTCGTGCGAGAGAGAGAGGAGTCGCGCGCGAGGTGGGTCGCGCGGAGGTGAGTCGCGCAACCTCGCGCGAGAGAGAGAGAGAGGAGTCACGTGCGAGAGATCGGTTCAGAGGCAAGCCACAGCGCCGGCGAGATGTTCCAGCGAGTGGTCGACGGCGGCGAGTGGCTGCTCCGTCGGCTAGGGTTAAGAACCTTGCTCTGATCTTGTTATCAAAACTTCTCACATAAAATTACAGCCAACTTTCCTCACCACATAAGAATATCAACTCAAAGTAATTCGGTCATTACTTAATAGTTGCACAAGTGTCTCTACTCAATACAAAGGTACACAAATAGGGCTCTGCTACCCATTAGCTTCAGCTGCAAATGATAGCATTAAACAAAGAAGACCATGGGTCCTTGTTTCCTTCTGCCTGATCTCAGACAACAGGTGATTTGACAGAAGTTGAGAATACTCTCATACTACAAATGTCTCTCGTGAAATAAGGGATAAACTTTCATTTAACCCAAAAGTAAAACTTGGCTTCGAAAGCACAATAAAACTCGTCTTTGTAACAATTGGCTACCAAACCCTAAAGGAAAAAGGTCCAAGCCTGAACAATTCCAATGCAAGATGCAAGCACCGCAAAGACAAATTCAATCAGTGCATCGTCCATCATAGCGAAAATCTATGGACCCAGAAATCTAAGCTTCTAACATTTTCTAGGGTTTATCAAAGGCTATCTCTTATATCACGCGAGACATTTGACTACCCAGATATCTATGCACCCAGAAATCTATCGACAAATTCAATCAGTTCATAAGAGTCTCCTGCAATAGGAAAGCCATTTAATCAAGTTCAGATGTGTTTATCAAAGGCTACAGGTGAAACAAAATCAAATTCTGGTAGGATGATTTGGTGAATTTGAGTTCCAATCCATCATGCCCTGTTTAAAATCAAATTCTTGGCTACAAAGCTAGCCTTTCATGCATTGTCAAGTAAAGGTAGCTATTCTCAACATCTAGTTACAAAAGCTAGTTATTCTGGCAATAAATTCTCCTCTTTATGCTTATAAAGTTTCACGAGGAAAACGTCTTATGGACTGATAATCACGCACATCAATTCTAATTCAAACCATCATAAATTAGATTTATATGAAGGAAAAAATGCTATGGTGAAGGAAATAGAGACAGGTTGCAAAATATCTTAGGTATTATGGCTAATTAACAAAACTTCTTAAGAGGAGAGATCAACCCTATACTTACATATGCCCCAATATAACTCCTTAATCTAGAAATCAAGCACAGCAAAATGCTAAAGACTCTAGCACAAAATGGTAATTTTTACACTCCCCTTCAATTCCAATGAAAGCCAAAACCTTGTCACTAGTACCATAAAGACACATGCTTAACTTCTCGACAAATGATCAACTACGTGAAGTATAAACATTGGCAGCAGCAGATCAACAATGTCATTACACAAGAAATAGAGAATCTACCAACAAAGAGCAACTACACCATGACTAGACAAATAAAAAGGGCAAATGGTGGAAGAAAAAGTATTCAGCTTTCAGCTGAAAATATAAACGCACCAAGCTGGTCACCACTACTAGCATGAGATGCTAAAAGAAGTTGAAGAATTCTGTGAAAGAAAGAAGTCTCAGGACACAATCAAAGATGGATTTCACAAATTCCTTGGCAAGGACCATGATATATGTTAACTGAAAGAGTGAGAGGTTAAGAAATGAAATTACCAACAAACGTCATGAGCGCTTCGGCCCCTCGGAATTGTCTTTTATCTCATCTGAATCTGAGTCACTGGCATTATAACCTAATAATATGACCAAAGTACCAAACAACAGCACCATAAGTAACCATCGATTGCATTGAAAACCAGGAAAGTATCATGTATAATCAGTGACTGCAAACAAAAATAGGTCTGAATAATACAAATGTGCATAATCAACCTGGACGCTTATCGCCAACTTTCCATACAGAAGAACGAACCCTTGATGCCCTGGTTATCCAAATTCTTCCCTAAACTCACAAAAAAAAAATCAAAAGTTAGAATCACTCTTCATTACAAATACATAGATAGAAAAACAAAATAAACATAGAAATAAACATGCAAATCTGGACCTGGAAAAACAATAAGAAAAGTGGAAAGCTACATTGTGCATCTCATAGAGCAGACATAATTACACTTAGCATCTGCATTTCCAAGAACACTTTTCTTCTTTCGCCCTCATATAATATTATTGATACTTGAAAACATCCTGAAGAATCAGATAAATATAGCGAATCACAGAAATAGTGTGTGGTGACAGTATGAGAGTAGAAAAATAGAGGAAGTGAGCATGTGCATCAGTTGGTTTCCAAACATAAGAAATTGTCGTTGTCCAGAAGACAGATTTAGTTCTACAATTGTAACAGCACCATAAGGCCTTTTGCAGTTCCAGGGCTGAACACGGGATTTAAAACGTCAGTCTCTACTACACAAACAACATGCTGCAAAGTGTAACTTTTTAAAAACACGGATCAAAAGTGTAATTTTAAAAACCATGGACGAATGCGTAATTACATGAAATGAACAATTAACTTAATTTTGCAAGGTTCCCTTAAGACTGAGCAACCACAGATGTTCAGAACTTAAGACATCGTTCAGTCCAAGAGAGAGGGCCATGTCAGCCATCACTGTTCGGCTTTCTTGCAACTTCAGGTTTAAAAAAGACTCCTTTTGCATATAAATGGTAAATTTCTAGTTCTTGCTTTTCTCTTCCTCTCCTTTTGTTGTCCCCTGACTCCCTATAACATGTGTTTGAAGTTGTTTCGTTGAAATTATGATTACCTTCATTCTAATATGAGTTTTGTTTTTCAGTAACCAAGACCAGTGATCAATGAGAATGAGGATTTGAAATTCGAGCAATAGGAGACAAAAACAACAAATTCCACATGTCCCTATCGAAATAAACACATCAGAAATCTGCCGAGCCAATCACAAACAGGAAAAATCAAGGGCAAACTTCAAATTCTCTCCTTTAATACCCTTGTGCAAAGCTCACGAAGCAAAACGCAACTAAATACCCCCTACAAGCAGCCTAATGTAAGAGCAAAAACCAATAAGCAAACCCTACAACACCACCGGCATAATTCCCTCAAGCAGAACAAGAACTAAACAACGAAATTCGATACCTTCTGAGCATCCCGGGGAATTCCATAGCCGCTGTAATACATCTGACCCACCAAGACCTGCATATTCACATCCCCGGCCTTCGCCTCCTTGAGCGAGTCCTTGAACCACCGCTTTACGCAGTCGGACACCACCTCCGACAGGGGCACGCGCCCGCTGCCCTCCTTCTCGCCGCTGGTCTCCACCTCCATCGCCGCCGCCCTCCGGCTCCCCGATCTCCGATCGCCGCCCGGCGCGGCCCTGGCCGACTTTAGGGTTCTGGCGGCGGACTGCGGCTGGACGACTCCCGCTAGCTGGCGCAACCTCGTTGCTGAGGGGAGGGATTTCCCCATAAAAACTCTTAGGAGAGGGAACCCATCACGCAATTTCTTAAAAGAAAGAAAAACCACAAACTACAAAGAGAAGATTTGACTCCTCTATGGTGTATCTGTATCGCATCAATCTCACCTGTTTCAGCGGCGCTATCGAGGGTCGACGAGCTTGACCTTCGTCGTCGCCGCCGTCGCCGTCGCCGTCGCCGCCGCCGTCTTCTTCCTGCGGCGATGCTATGCGGACAGCGCGCACGTTTCGAGCTTTTTAAGGACGCCGTCGAAGGTCGGAGGAGGGGAGCGACGAGAGCCGAAAAATGTAAGAATTAAGAAGGGTTTACGGGTGGAGCGGAATTAGCGAAGCAGGAGATTCTTATCTTATTAAAAAAATGACATTAAATGGAGTCGTGTTATTTAAAATCCAAAATTGATCACCGCCAAAAATTTACCCGATAATTATTTTGATCCCGTAAGATATCTCAAACCGATACGTCACGATAAATTTACCCTAATCTAATTTTCGTCTTGCGAAAAATCTTAAAACCGGTACCTCATCATCGAATTTAACCTCCAAACTGATTCCCGTTTCGCAAAAAAAATCCACAAATTTGGTACTCCCGACCCATATCTATCTTCCTTAAGATGTTTATGTGTCAACGCAAGTGGATTTTTCACGTCGGATGTGTCGCTCTCCACGTTGGATCCGTCTTACATTCATTTGCCACATGCATTAACATGTATGCACTTTAGCGAAAATATTGAATGGAATGCTAACGGATGGTAAATTTAGGTCAGGATACCAATTTGGGTTTTTTTATGAGACAAAAATTAGTTTATGGTAGATTAGTAATTTGACATTTTTTTTTAATTTGCGATAAGCTTGTCACAGGGTACCGGTTTGTGTTTTTTTTTCACAATGAAAAATAGTTTAGGATAAATATGTTGTTGGGTACCGGTTTTGGATATTTAATGGTATTAATCTTAACTTAAAAAGATTGTCGCACCATAAATTTATGTATTTTCATGGTAAAAAATAAAATCCTAGAAGCAATTAATTTGGATCATAACTATATAAATTGTAAAATATAGTTTAAGGTGATGCATTTACTAGTAATATTTTCTAACACTGGTACAAGGGCTATGTGGATCTTAAAAGGATAGAGGATTTTACAACCGTTTGAAATTTCCATGTTTTAAATTCGTGAAAAACACTCCTGAGTGAGTCAACTATAAATTTTGACCTTCTAATTTCCAGGAGAGACATCAAATTGAGGAAAGCCATGAATTGCAATCATTTACTTTACTTAAATTTAGGGGTGATCGGTTCTTGGTCCAATCTGAAACTGGGAACCTAGTCCAGTTTCTAAAATTATGAACCTGACCGGACCAGTTAGTCCTAGAACTGGAAATCGGACCGGACCGGGTCTGGTCTAACGGAACCGGTCACTTTTTTTTCACTACTTACACTCATTACATAATTTTTAGGAGAAAGTAACCTCAAAGTTTTAAAGTGGAGGATTAATCTTCACAAGGGAACATAACCTCATACTAATTTCCCCAAATGAATTCTACTTTTGCTCTAAACAACTCAATATATATATATATATATATATATATATATATATATGTAGTCAATCCGGTTCGATCTGGTTCCTTTTGGAACCGAGAATCGGACCGATACTTCCGAGAGTCGGACTGTCGATTTGGTCTGGTTTGGTCTGGTCTGAGTAATTTCCAGTTTGAGCGGTCCATTTTGCGTACCCCTTCTTAAATTAGGACTGTCAATGTTTTAGAGATGATAATTTGACTTATTAACAAATTAAGTTACTTCAGTTGTCTAATCGATTTGATTTCATGCGTGGTCCAATACATCTTTGACATGTCTTAATTAAATAATTAAAAAATGAGCTTTGCTTAGTGTGTTTATGCATTTCCTTTTAGACTTTGCTTATTTCGGCTGTAATGTCGAAATCATATTCCAGATATTTTAGCCAGAGATTAATGGATAACTTTGAAGAATCACTATTTTTAGAGTTAATACCATCAAAATTCCAAAATTGATATATATGTATCACATTTATCCCGAATTAATTTTCGTATTGCAAAAAATCTCAAACCGGTATATCCGTATCACATTTATCCAAAATAATTTATGTGTTTCGACATAAAAAAAAACTAATTTATGTGTCACATAAAATCTCAAACTAGTGCACCTATACCACATTTTATCCAAACTTATATTTATGTCACAAAAAAATCTCAAACCACCAAAATCATAGATTGGGAAATCTTCTAAGATTGCTCTAAGAGCTTCCTTAAGTTTCGAAAATCTGCTAAAATCTCTAATTTTTTGTAACAAGAAAATTAGTTTGGCCTAAAAGTGAGATGGATATACCAGTTTTGGTTTTTTTTTACACAGAAATTAATTTGGGATAAATGTGTTAAGGGTGCATCGGCTTGAGAATTTTTGTATTAGTTTGGCATAAATAGGACACATGTATACTAATTTGGAATTATTGGTATTATTGGACGTCTGGAATTCCTGTTCTTGGAAAAAACATATTAGTCATCATCTGGGTTACTAGAGTAGTCGATGTCGCTGGTCTCCGGAATGGTTTGGATAGCACAGATGATTCTTTTTAGAAGGTTCGTCCTCCAATTGATTTAACATCATCTTCCCATAGAGGAACTCCTATCTTCATTTCAAGGGTCTGTAGCATGTGTATACCTTTCTTCTTGGCTCGAGGGCAATTATTTGCAAAGCGACCTTTGCGTCCCCTTATGAAAGTTGCAATTATTATGAAAATTGCAAGATTAGGTTATTAAAATATAGATTAGAGATAAGAGAAATGTATTAGATATTGATTGCATGTAGAGAGTTGACTGTTAGGTCTCAAGTGCCAAAAGTAGTTCTACATATATCCTTAGTTAATCTTCGTTCAATGAACCCTGTCATCAAGGCTCACACGGACTTACCATCTTCAGAGGAAATGAGAGACCATACCCTAAATTGCCCAGAAGGAATTTAACTCGATAGTTCCCATGATTGAGTTTGAGAATCTAATGGCAATGTCATTCGGGTCCCGTTAGGCAGGAAGCGCAGTTACGTGGTTGCTAAAGAGTTTTGGAAGTTTTGAAGAAACTCGGGTTTGTTTTTTCAAAACAGGGATGGAGTCGTAACCAATCAATTTAAAGAAGATAGGTTGATTGGAAACCTAAATGTACATGTAAAAGGATTGCTCATTTATGAAAACCAAGCTTGCGGTCCGAAGATTAGGTTACGTGTGGGGACAGGTCAGGTCAGCATCCTCACAATGCCCTTTCGGTATCACACTTTTTAATTAAATCCTTCGGATGCCATTATCAAATAATTTCGTAAACTTATTAATGCAATTCTAACTTATCCGAAGACGTAATCATGAAAATTCCTTCATCGTTTTACATCCCGGCATGACTTCCCATACCATATGTGTATTAGTGTCATGTAAGTATGCAAGGAGTTATAAAAATACGCGTTGAGTCCCCATTCATTACGTGTATGCTTATACAATTGACTAAAGACGCGTACTTAGACAGTGCTTGCTTTAGTTTTAAAATAACGTAATTTCGAAAGTTATTCTAAAAAATCATTACATGCGTGGGGCCTTGGCTCTCTAGCCTTCGGGTTTCCCCGAACCGATTCTGTAGAGCATTTCAACCCATGAGTTGGCTTTCCTGCAATGTGTTTTCTGAAGCAAATAATTAAAGAAGCAAAACAACAACCTCAATAAATTATCATATGGATGTCCAGTAAAATATGTCACTCAAACTTTAGCCGCACCAAAATCAATATTATGTTTTTCCACTAGATGATAGCTCTGGATTTATTTTTGAAAGGGTGTCTAGTTCCTATTACATTGATCCATATATATATATATATATATGGAAGTTTATTAGGTGGGTTCACACTTCACATAATGTCAAACATTAACCTCATGATAAGAGTTCGAGTACAAAGTAGATGGATAAGCTACAGACAGTTCTGTTTTTGAACATGTCCCTGTGGGCTCTTGTGCGACTTTATCACCCCTCCAAAGTGGCCTTAATTCGTTGGGACTAAAGAAAAGTTAGTTGCAAAGTTGAGACTAATGTTTAATTTCACTAATTGTTCTTCTACGAATAGGAAGGAGAATGTTCAAGCGTGCATGTTTAGAGCTCAAAGGAGTAGTTGATCAACTAATTGGTCTATAATTCAATATAGCTTCGACTTTCAACTTTTGAGTCAAGGTGAGTTCAATAAAATATATTCATGGACTCGAATTTGAAAGGGATAATGATACAAACAGTCTATGTACTTTGGCCAAATGTGCAATGTGGTCTCTAAACTTTAATTTGTTCAGTGTAGTCCTTGAACTTTAGCCTAATGATCAATATGGTCTATGAATTTTTAATTTGTTCAATGTGGTCCCTAGACTTTCGGTACATGTTTAATTTAGTCTCTGAACTATATGAAAATATTGAATGTAGTCCCTGAACTTGAATTAATGGAAAGACTATATTGAACATTTTTATATACTTCAAGGACTAAATTAAACATATATCGAAAGTTTAGGGATCAGATTGCACAAATTAAAAGTTCAGGGGCCACATTGCATATTGGGTTAAAGTTCATGGATCATATTGAACAAATTAAAAATTCAGGGATCAAATTGCATATTGGGCTTCATGGACTATTTTTGTCAATTTTCCAATTTGAAAAACGCCAAGTGTGTATTGGTATTTGGACTCGGTAGGAAATCTCATTAATCATTACAATTACTAAATTTGCTATCATGGTTTCGGCAGGGAGGAGACCATGGGAGAAGGCATATGTGAACATATTTCACCGAAAAGTCGATAGTGTACCTTCTAGAATATGAATGGATTAGCAGTGATCAATTCTCGGGCAATTCGATTCTCTAGGAATCGAGAATTGGACAGACCAATTGTCAGTTTATGGAATCGAGAATTGGACTGGTGCCCATTGGAATCAGTGGCATATTAATTTTTTTATTTGTCATTGTTCTCGATAATCAATGCGTTTCTATAATCAGTGAGTTACGTGTAACATTATAGGTTTCACAATGATTTTTCTAATTTGTGGCAAAATTTAGTTGGAATGAGCAACTACTATTGTGTTTTGATTTGTTATTGTCATTTTGCTCACGTGCATAAGTAAACGTAGCCGCTTCAATTTTGAAGGGCATTCATTTGTGAAATAGGAGATAGATTAGGGTTTTTTATTATATTTTTAAGAAATAAAAAATTAAAAAAATCGGTCCAGTATGAGTGGTCCGGGTGGGCGATTCCACACCTAGAACTGGGAACCAAATC